AACCTGCGGGGGGAACTGCGCAAAAAACGCATCCTCGTACCGGCAGCCGGTACGCTTTCTACTAAGTTTTATTTTTTAACAAGTAAATATCCAATTTTGTGGAGCATGAGGAAGAAAATGTATCATCAGAAACGACGAACGTTTGCAAGGGAGACACTATCGACAGGTGATACTATATGAACTGTAGAAATATAAATAATTGGCCAACGCACGGGCTGCCCGTACGAAGATGCGTTTTTTGCATAGTTCCCCGCTGTTTTTGTTGCTACCGGCACCGGCTTTTTTGGCAAATGCTTCTAGCTAAACAAATTAAGGCTGGCTGCCAGAACTGTCAGAAAACACTCCCTTAGAATTTCAGCTTTCTAGCTTCTCTGGCTCCTGAGTTAGCAACTTACGGGAAAAAAACTTTCACGGGCCCGTGCGTGCTTACCAAGCATACCCGAAAGTTGGGTTTGAGCTGAATGGAACTTAGGTGGACGGGGTATAGCCTCTTGAAATTGTAGTCCTTTAGCTTCTCAGGTACTCGGGTTATCAACTTACCCGAAAAAAACTTTAACGGGCCCGTATGTGGGTACCATGCTCGCCCGGAGTCTGGGTTTGAGCTCATTAAAACCTACTTGGACGGGGAACATCACCCTAAGATTTCAGCCTTCTAGCTTCTTGGATTCCCGAGTTATGAACTTACCCGAAAAAAATTTTGGCGGGCCCGTAGGGGGAACCACGCTTACTCGGGGACTGGGTTTGAGCTCACTAATACCCACTTGAACGGGGAACATTGCCCTAAGATTTCAGCTTTCTAGCTTCTCAAATCCCTAAGTAATTAAATTACCCGAAAAAAATTCTGGCGGGCCCGTGAACGGGTACCGCGCGAGTAATGGTGCCCATTTGGGGGATTGGGGCCCGTACGTGCATGTAGATTAAGTTCCCAAAGTTTCAGCCCTGTAGCTTTTGTAGGTCTTGAGATGAAAAACTGTGACAGACGCACACACGGACACACAGACAACCCCTCGTCACTATGCGTTTTCTGCATTGCACTGCTGCAAAAAACGCATAAAAAACACATATTTGGCTTAAATTAGACAAGTTGTAGCACACGTACAAAAAAAAAAAAAACCGTAAGCATATTTTGCAAAAGCAAATCCCGTAGAACATTCCGGTAACTGAAAAGAAAGACGAAGTTATTCGGAACAAACAGAGCAACATCGCGAAAAATTAAACCCGAAGTTCAGATTAAGCAAAATAAACAGTGAAATGAAAGGCGACTTGTGAAGGAGCTTCACTTTCCTCAATAGCATATGCTAAGAGTACTTCCTCCGACCATGCTGCAATATTCCGCGCACACATAAATCCCTCACGCCATTTTTCTGCTCGGATTTGAAAAAAATGGGGGGAGGGGGTTAATATGTTTGGTGATGCAAGATTTAATCTTGTTTAACTTGTTATCTATCTTATGATTTAACTTGCCTTTGATTATTTAACTTGTTATAAAACTTGTCTACGTTTGTTGAAGAGCAGCAGCGATATTTGGCAAAAAGGAGCACTTTTTCAAGAGAATGAAGAAGGCCAACAAGTCTTCATCCACTTCAAGATTTTTGCACCATTTGCTCGCGTACTAAGTGTTCTCCTGAGCCAGCTATATAAACAGTGGTGTCAGTTAACTAGCGTAAAAAGACTAGGATCATGAGATAATAATCAGATATCACTGTTCGAGCTAAAAATTACAGAAGCAGTAGGGGGATGTACTATAACTCTTCTAGTATTTCTGTTTACAAGAACGGACAAAAAATTAGGAAAATAAAGTAGCATTCCCCTCTGGAACGACGAGGAAAGGAGAAAGCAGAAGCAAAAAAAGAGAGAGAACAAAAGGATCATTAGCAGACTGATCATCCATCATCAGTGGATGCAGATTTGATCAGAACTATGCAAAAAATACAAGCTACATTGGTGATGTAATGGGAACCAGTACGAAGAAGCAAGGATCAACAAGAGCGGGTACACAGTGAACATTTTAGACTTGAGGGGAGTGCAATCACAACGAAACATTGCCTGGTCGGCTTCTCGGCTGAGCACTGTTTCGTTCCTTTCACGCATGCAACGTGGTTCGTCACGTCGACTCGAAGTGAGCTGTTCTCAAGCAATTTGAAATGCGCAACTTTGATGCTATCCAAAATTTGCGTCTATCGGAACGCGCCCCTCCAATCGTTGTGCGTAGCACAAATCCGTGTAAGCATAGCCATTCTGTGGTTTTCTCAAACACTTTAAAGCATTTCGTTTTGTTAGATTAAAATGTCTAAAATTCAGGATTTCACCCACCCCTTTCCTCCTACGCAGTCCCTTTTTAGCTAATAGCTCCTCCCCCAGGAGACAGAGCGAAAATCAGGATGGCCAGCGTGCTAGCCATCAGGCTCTGCAACTCTGGTCAAAGTCCGGAACAGTTGTCAGCTACATGTCGGGGGGAACATGTTACAATAAACTTCAGCTGAACAAAGTACTAAAGTAAAGTTACGATCTGAACTAAAGCGTTTGAAAAGAAAAAAAAAAACAATTTTCCTTTAGAAGAAACGAAATGGGGGAATAAATGCGTGAATTTGGCAAGACCAGAATAGAGTTGAATGGAAAAATTGTCAGTTGCAGCACCAATGAGCTAAAGTTAAAAGTTGAAACCCCCCACCTTCCCCTCCTCGCACCCTCTTTGCCCCTCCCGTCCACTGTTTGAGACAGGCGGAGACGATTAGAAGTAATAATAAATTAGAAGCAATAATAAATTACGGCCGCTGGAAGTACGAATCGTAATTTTAAAATAAGTAGACGAATATCTGCCACCGTGACATACTTGCCTGCAAAAAAATCGTAAATGATCAAAATAAAATAGTTTGGGAAGGTACCGCAAATTTTGTTAGATCGTGGAAACTGATTCAGTAATTGACTAACCACTTGATCTAGTGAACCGCGCATTACTGTTCCTGAGATTCTAGGCTGTAGTACTTGAACCCTCGTAGTACATTTTTTTCTCCATGCGTACTGAGCCGTATAACTGTCCTATGTTTCTCTGATGACAGCGTACTCTCGCTATTTGACAATTTGAGAGAAAACGGAAGCTTAAAAAGAAGTGAAATTAGAAATACATGCTCTCTTCTAAGTATAAATCTAGGTGACAGTGATCTGAGAATAAGATTTTATTCGAGATTTTAAGATTTTTATTTTTCTAAAGATTTGTTTCATCAAATCTGAAATTTACCTCATTGGAAGAATTCGGGATTTTGTGGGAAAATCTGTTGAGCGTGGTGGCACTTTACTCCAAATCAAATTTCTACAACAAACACAGCTGCGTGCTTTTCTTCTGAAAGTATAACTGCGCAAAAAATCTTTGCACCACAGGCTTCTTGCGAGAGGAAGGAAGATTGAAAACTTTTTACCATTATAATCTCATAAATTTTTTAATTTTCATTTCTTACCCTCCTATTCCTTTTTCTCTTTTTATGCGTTTTTGCTTATATGCAAATT